AGCGGGAGGGGTAGGAACAGTCTGCATCCTATTTATTTGAGGGGGTAGGCTGCTTTAATGGGTGTATGATAAATTTTTTGGGGGTTATCTATTAAATTTTGAGATGAAATAGGACAAAATTTATAGCTAAATACTTTTATTATAGAATTATTATAATACAATTCATCGACCAAATTTATATATTGCAATGCAAACAATCATACACATTGTTTTCCAAATAAACTATTTTTTTAAATGTAATTTAAAAGGATTAGATATTTCAGCAAGCTCATAATGCCATAATAATTAATTCATTGTAAATAATGGAGGTTTTAATTGAATTTATCTAAAAAATAAATTATTTATATTCACAAAATATCATGGTAGTAGAGATAGATTAATTTAAGTTATCCTTTATAAATTCTTTGAAAAGAGTATCAATAAATTACCGCCCGGAAATTTTTTAAGGGGGTAGGCAAAGGTTTTTGAAGGGGATTTTACATCCAGTGAAAATCCTGTCATGTAGAAGCTGAGTGACCATAATCCAAAATTTATATTCATCATATTACTTTCTTCAAAATGAATTTGCATTTCATTTACAAATTTTCTAAAATGCATAACGTAGCAGGGACTATCAATAACTTCGAATCTAAATACTCCCGCAATCGTTAGACCAGCAATGATAGCATAATTTATTATTTTTATACCTTGACCATTTTTATTGGACTTTTTCTTTATTTGATAATATTCAATTATGGTCTCATTCGAGTGACGAAGCGTCAAGTTTACTACTAGGGAAGCAATCAAAAAAAAAATTTTATTATTATTTTTACTTTAGTCAAACTCAAACCATAAAAACATAAGATTTATAAATAGGTGGTATTCGTCTTTGTTTTTGAGTAAAATGATCAAGTACTGCATTATAAAAGTTATCGCTAGATTTTAAATTTTTTTCATAATTTTTTTTCAATTGAAATCAAAGATAGATTCGATAATCGATTTTGGCTCATCCTGTTTCTGTAATAAGATTTGATTCTTTTTAAAGATGAAAAACTCCGTTCTACACTTGCTATTGTTGAAGCCAAAGTTATGATGAATTTGCATAATTTAAAAAACTCTTAAACTTTTCATCAAATCGGTGCATATTAAAAATTCAAGTATTTCATTAACATTCTTTTTCTTTCTGAATTCAACATCCGGAAACACTACCTTTAATTCGGTTCCAGATTGTGTAAGTCAAAAAATTGAGAATAAGTGTCGTTTGAATTATCTAATAAATATTTTGGGAAATTGATTATTTGGAATTTACTAATATCTAACAATTCGACGAATTTAATATTTTTTGTGTAAAACATATGAAATAGAATTAATCAAATCATTTTGAATATTGCTTGATAGTACAAGAAAAACTACACTATTTCTAAATTATGTTTCAATTTCAATAGTAAATTTTCTTCCGCGAGTAAATAAATTAATTCAATATAATTTCCTCTATTTACTGAATTAGAAGATTCATCATCACCACAAAATACTAGCTCCTGAATTCCAAGAAAACATATATAGTTGATCAATATTTTCAATATTTCTCTATTTGATTTGACTTTAGAATTATGCTGTTCGATTGATATTTTGCGCATCGAATCTATCATATTTTCAATGCGATTTTGGCCAAATGTTTTTAATTGAATCATCGACTGCAAATAAGCGGTTGATTCTTTGCCGTTTAACTGCCTTTGAAAAATTATTCAAATCCGAAAATCCTTTATTATTCTAAACATATTTTTACTTTGGAAATAATAGGCATGACCAACAATATAGAGAATTAGAAAATTCCAGCGAGCCATTCATATTTTCCCTATTTATCGATAGAAAAATTACGGATGCAAGTTTTGATTTCTTTTTTTAAGTTTTGTAAAATTGGGTTTGGTTTTCCTTTTTCAATAATCAATTTTTTAGCATCAAAATTTCTTGAGCTAAATGATAATGTTAATAAATTTTCAATAATAGAATTACAATTATAAACATTAATTAAGGATTTTAAAAACGAAAAATTTTTTATTTTAAAAAAATAAGGAAAAAAATATTATATAAAAAAATTTCTTTCTCTTTTATTTATTAAAAAAAATAAGCATTTTTTTATTTGCTTCCCTAATGCTTATTTTTTAATGGTAAAATTATACCATGGCATGATTTTCTCTTTATTTATTAAAAAAATAAGCAATATTAAATTTGCTTCCCTCATGTATATTTTTTTAAACGTAGTTAAAATAATAGTAAATTTTTTAACGTAGTAAAAATAATAGTAACTTTTTTAACGTATAAAAATAATAATATTTCTTAATATAGTAAAAATAATATTAATTTTTTAACGTTATAAAATTATATTAATTTTTTAAAATAAAGTCAGTTTAGTTATTTAGCATAGTACAAAGATTATATTAAGTTTATTTAAAAATTTTGTAAGAAAAATTTCAAGGGCAGCAATGCTTCCCTTGCTTCTATGAACGCTTCGTCACTGTCTCATTGATATTAAAGACTGGCTCTTATCAATAAAGATAAATATTTCTCTCTTTTAGACTACATTCACAAACCTATTTTCATATTCTTTGCGAATCTCATATTTGATTCTGTAATTTTTCTAACTATACCTAATGATATCCTTTTAAAACTATACCTAAATCCAGATAATTAACGAATAAAAATATTTTAATGATAGAAAGTGTCATATTATTATTTAAAATTATTTATTTTTAAAAATTATTTTGTTTAATATTTATCAAATTTATAAATAGTCGCCTCATGTAAAACTCGTGATCTCGTCTCAAAAATATAAAAGGGACTAGATTTTATAATTATGATGACTTTGACTTTTTTGACTTTTTTTAAAAATATATTTAGTCAATAAAATTTGATTGAAAATTAATTAATTTTAGTTATAGAATTTTGTTGGTAGATTAAGTAAGTTATAAAATGGTGTTGTATTGGTGTTTTTTATTGTATATAATTTTAATAGAAAGAAGGATGTACAGTTCTATTTCCTCGAGTTATTAATCAAATTGTTATTATTAAATATTTCTATATAACTTAAATTATTTTGTGAAAAATTTTATGAATCAATTTCAATTTTGAAAAAATATTTAATTTAAAAGGGTAGGGATCATGAAAATTTGGCGGAAAATATTATTTAAATTTAAAGATACATTTAAATATTTTCTGCTAAAAAAAATTTATATGGCTATCTCAAATGGCTGGTAAGGCTGTCATTAATTCTTGGGATAATAGATAAAAGACAAGAATTGTATAAAATTTAATCTTAGTAAATAATAGGATAAATGTCCTTACTTTAGGCACGTACCCACAACGGGGGGTGGGATTAAATTCTTAGTTATTTAAGAGTATCATGAGTATTTAAAATTTTCAGGGTATCCCACTCAAAAAAGTAAAGTCCCAATCAAAAAAGGAAAAGTGTTAAACAGAAAAGGTAAATGTAGATGAAAAAATAAAAATTGTGTCAATAAAAAAGGATTATTCCCAAAGGCTTAGGAAAAAGTCCTATCAAGAAGGGAAAAGTGTCAAACAAAAATTGCAAAGATCCAAAAAAAGGAAAAGCGTCTTAATATTTTATTCTTCTTTTATTTTACTTAAGTCATAATATAATCAATATTATTGTAGGTCAATTTATATTATTTTTTTTATTTGCAAAATGTTGTTTTGTTTTATTTGACAATACCATTTATAATAAAATATTTGCCTTTTTTACAATGCATTTTAATATGTGGAAGCCAAAATATTTTTATGAAATATTAGCTGGAACTATTTGCAATATACGGGTCTCAGAAGTAGAAGCTTACCCACTGGTGTTGCCCAATAGAAAAATATGGCTACACTTGGGCATAAAATATTTATAAATATAAAACCTAATTTAAATTTTTTAAGATGATAATTTAATGATGAGTATTTTCTAAAATAATTATGTCCTATCCTTATTCAATTGAAAAGGTAATTACTTACAATTAATAACGTACATTTTACTAACGGTTATATCTACGGATATATCTTCATATTTAAATATATGAGACATTTAAATATGACGAGATATTATTGGTAAGAGCTATTTTCTGAGACAATTTGTTCAAGGACATTTTGTCCTAGTATATATCAATCTTTTAAACAAAATAAAAGTTTGATTAATTACTTTACATTATATATGTTTACCCCAAGCCTCTCCTATTAAAATAGCAACTGCGATCGTGATTATATAACGGCTACATAATCATAGTCTTTCGCCAATAAAATGGTTAATAGCAATTTGCAAACTATATTGGTAAGTAAGGGTTTCTTTATAAATAATTATATTTTATTACAGACGTAACCATGAGGAAGGGGGGGGGGTCATTAGAAAACAATAATCTATTCTTGCAAATATCACTTTAAAATAATAAAATACCTACCTCCTTCATCCCTTCATCCCTTCTCCCATCCCCAAATATATGAAATATATTAACATAAACAATAATTTGAAAGAAAAATAAATAAGTTAATAATTTTAAAAAGTAATAAAAGATTACTTTTATAAAAAAAATGTAAAAAAATCAAAAATTATTTTTAAAAAAAATGTACAAAATCTATGGGGAAAAACAAACCTATTTACCCCTTACACAAACCCTTGTCAAAACACTGGTAAGGCTTATGAATTTAATTTAGTTGTATAGTAGAGTATTACATAATTTTTTTCACATGTGGCCAAATCTATTATAACCTATACTTTAATTTGCTCCAAATCACTTTTATATTAAGATATTTACTTAAATTTATTTCAGGACTTTTACTAAAATGTCAGAGCTAACAAAAATAAAAATTAAATTTGTTAAAAGCTTTGGACGTAGAGGAGTTGTTAACTTACATCTATTTAGATTTATAATATTTTTATTGATACTTAAAATATTGCTAAAAAAATATGTGCATTAATTTATGGTTTATTTAAATCTATTTTTAAAATTAATTCCAATTTCTGAAAATTAATTGTGAGTAGTATAATTTTATTATTTTAATTCCAATTTCAAAATGGCTCGATTAGCACTAAATTCGATGATTGTACCAGCTAGTCAGCATACCCTCTTTATGAGAGGGTTTTATGGCAATATGAATAAAGAGGATGTGAGGTATTGTATTTAATTTTTTATTTAGCATTTATACCTTTAATACTTATAGGGAGTTCTTTACAAAAGAAGGCGGGAAATGTTCTTTTGATTTTGTTAAACTCTCCGAAGATAGGCGGTTATTATTCGTTGCCTTGAGATTTGAGAGCAAGGATGTTGCCAAAGACATAATGGCTAGGTATAATTAATTTTTATTTATTTCTTCAAAATAATTTATTCAAAGATATCATGATACTGATGTGTTAGGTTCAAGAATTTCAATATCTTGGTATAAAGATTTAAGAAAAGCAAGGCAAAAAGGTATATTCAAGATATTATAACAAATCTTAATGAAATGTTATTATTTTATAAAAATAATGATTATTTTATTTTAAATAGCATATTTTACATATCTCCTCATTTTCTATGCTATGGAAAAATATATAAAAATTTGTTAAATATTTTGATATTTGAAAAAATTTTACGTGGAAAAAAGTATCTAGTGTTTGAAACAAGAGTTGATAATACTTTATCAAAAGAAATTTAATTGCTATATATATAGTGAAAATATTAGTGCGAAAAAATAAAGTAGTTATATTTCAAATACATGGTAAGTCAGCATAAATATGCCATCTCCACTAATTATACATAATTTAATTATGAATTAAAAAAATATTATATAATTATAATTGAATTTGATAATAATGTTAAATATCTTTATAGCTTTTGATGCAATGAGAGATAGAAGATTAAATGATGGGCGACATTATAATAATAGAAGAAGTGATAACTTTTTCCCAGATAAAAGAGCTCACAATAGAAGATCATTTTCATCAAATAGGTTTATTTTATTTTTTTTTAAAAAAATCAATTTTGTTACTGATTGTGACATTTTAGTTAGTATAAACTTTTGTTGTTTTTATTTAACTATTGACATGTCATATAGTTAAAGTTTTAACACTCTGAACCTGTTAAAAAAATTTTACAGCCTGACCCCAATTTATATTAATATAGAAATTAATTTTTATAATTACTCAAAATAAAAGTATTACAGCATTTCTATACATACAATCAAATATTTTTATTTTCATAATAAATTTTATATAAAATTGATAAATTTATAAAAATTTTCAATGCCTGAGCTGGCCAGAATTTTTAAGGCTTGACCCAGCTCAAACCCAATTTTTTTTAAAAAAATGGGCTTGGCTAAGTACACGCCTGGCCTATTTTTGCAGATCTCATAGTTAATAATTTATATCATTACTATAATATTTAATATACTATAAATTTAAGAGTGAAAAGAAGTTTTTCCTATGATGAAGGTAGTGAGGAAGGTGAAATTCGCAATAAAGATTCAGTGAGCAGATCTAGATCTCCACATGATGCAAGTTCAATATCAAGATCCACATCTTCTGCTAGAGCAAAATCTTCTGATAGAGAAGGGTCAATTTTGAATAATGGTGAAGGTTAGTATTAAATATTTCACAATTTCTTTCAAAAAAAATTACATAATACTACAACTAAGAAAATAGATAAGGCCTGACAGGCCCAGATTCTCTTGGTTAGAACTCTTTGTCTCTAATAAAGTTATCAGTTGCTTTTACAACATTTTTATAAAATTGCTTATAAAATAATATCTGTCATAAATAGTATTGGCTAAGATTAGCCTTTTTTACAAATTGGCTTATCAATTATTTTATATATTCTTTATATTAAAATTAAAAGATGCCAATAGAAATAGGGGTAATAGTTTATCTTCTCGGAGTTTATCTTCAGCTAGACATTCCTTAGCATCTCATCCAGCAAATTCTCCTGGTAAAGAAAAATCTTTATCTCCACCGGAAGATGGAGAAAGGAGAAGAAAATCTGGGAAAAGAAAAAAGAGGTTTATAATATTTTTAATATTTTATGTCTAAAATATTCATTTTTCTAATCTATCAACCACCAATCAGAATGCCCAGAGGTTACCTAGACAATCCCCTCGTAAATGAGGATGAATCCAAAATTGATGCATCAGCTAATCATAATGACCAACCAAAAGTAGTTGAAATAGATAACACTCCTATTTTTAATGAAAAATCTCCTGCCCTTGCTGCTTATGAAGAAGAGGAGGAAGATATCATAAATTCCAATAGTAATTTGAATATGAATCTTAATACTGGGAGTAGGATTGAAGAAAATACAGAGGAAAAAGAAGAAGGAGCTCTTACAAATGATAACATTGTTACAAATGAAAAGGATTCTAGTGGCCAGGATAATATTGAAGCCACTGAGAAGTATAAAGAGATAATTGAGAAGGAAAAAGGTTAATTTAAAATATATATTGTAATTTATCTATTTTTCTAAACTACATTTCTTTTAGCACATATTTATTCCTTTAAAAATGAAGAGTTGAATATAAATATTTTTAATATTTGGCCTGCATTCCAGAATACCGTGAACGTAAAGAACGCAGGGAACGCAAACCCTTTAAGGGTATAGGAAGGAATTATTTTAAATCCTCTCCTCCACATGGCTCTAGGCGTAGAAGAGAATCTCCTTCCAGGAATAGCAATGATTACAAGGTAATATTTGAAACCATATGTTATTTGGGGCCCTGGAATTTTTTGATTGGCTTGGCACTATCATTTTTTATAATGGCATAATTTAAAGGGCAATTAAGTTTATTTTATTTGATTAACTTATTTTGAATCTTGATTAATTTTATTTAGAATCTTGCCATAATATAAATTGAATATATAAAAAAAATTTGTCAAAATTTTCTAAAATGGCTTATTTAGAATTTCAAATTTACAATTTGGAAAGGATATTACATTTTTAACTCGGTTTTTCAGAAATCAGGATATACTAATGTTAAAGTTAAAAAATTTATTCTGTTTCTTATGATGTTATATTGCAAAATCTTATTAAAATTTAAGTCATTATAAGTTAAATTATGCTTGATGATTATATTTTCTTTGAAGAAATATTTTCATAAATGTCACCATTGAGTATTTTTTGTTTTTATTTAACAATTTTAATTAAATATGATTTATTATGTTAGTTTTCAAAGTATGAGGATGAGGAACAAATGTCATATCGTGGGGGTGGTGGAGGCAAGTTTTATTCCAATCATCATCCCAGGTCGCGATACAGAGGGGGAGGTGATGGGTATCGTGGGCAGATAGATCATAGAAGGAATGTGAACTACCGAGGCCAAAGGGATTACCATGGACAGCACTATAACAACAATGGCTCCTCGTGGTATCAAGGCAGGGGAAATAGGGGTGGAAGAGACACAAGGCGCCATAGAGGTGGGGATGATAGCAGGAGTTCTGCGGAGAGAGAAAACGAGATAAATGAAGAAAGGGAACAAGGTGATCATGATGAGACCACTGTGGATCTAGAATCCACCAAGCTGGGTTCATTAGTGCGCAAGCGCAAGACTATCCGGGAACTCAGTAAAAACACTCAACCTTCAACTCCTGATCCTGCTACACTGTTTAAAAACACCATGATTGAAACTAACACTTCTACAACATCATTGACTTCATTTGATAACCGGGCTAGGTAATTTGACATAAAAATAGTAATGATTTATTTTCTGATTTTTATATTTTTTCATCATATAAATTGTATAGAATTTCTTTTTGATTGATGTATTAGATCTAGAGATCTGCAAAGTTAGGCCCGGCCCGAGTCTGGCCGTTTGGGCCTTGCACAGGCTAATTCTATTTAAAATAATTAAGTTTAGGCCAGCCCAGGCCTAATATTAAAAAAAAAAATTTGGGCCGGGTTGAGTCGGATTTTGAATTTTTTTTAAAATATATCTAAATTTATCAAGATATTAAATTTTTTATGTAAAATAAAAATCTTTGATTTTATTTATTAAAACTAAACGACATATAACATATGTCTTTTATTTTGAGTAATTATAAAAATTGATTTCTATATTTAAAATTTGGGGTTCGGGCCTGGCTGGCAAAACTTTTTTTAGAAAAAATTTCGGGTTCGGGCTTGGCCGGCAAAACTTTTTTTAAAAAAAATTTGGGGGACGGGCCAGGCTTGAAAAGTTAGGCCCGATGCAGATCACTAATTAGATCAAAGGGGGCAACAGGCAGGCAAATTATATTAAATTTTGTAAAAGTTATAAAATAAAATAAAATTTATAATCAACTTAAAAAATATATACATATAAAAAGATTATAATAAATAAAATTATTAAGATTTTACACTTTTATTTTTAATAGTTTTTTACACAATTTAAATTTATTTGGATTATTATGTTTATGCTAAATGAGCAAGAAATCGAGATATTCTGCTGGCCCCATTTTTATCTCTTATTTTAAATTAAAAATGTTATTTTTGGCAATTTTATTATTTGAGATAACAGAAAATCAAGGCACAAAAATCGACCCCTTTTAATGTTTGTTACTGTATTAATTATGCACTAAATCATTTTGAATGTTAAATTTTATTTTTATAACTAAATTGATAATTGGTAAACTACTGACTTAGTTATAAATATAAGATTCAAAAAAATCTTTTCTCAGTTAAGGTCACTATTTACACTAAAATTAAGACATTTTTACAAATTTTTATTGTCATTGAAAGAAGTGGGTTTTGAGGTATTCGATTTTATATAAAATGAATTATCTAATCAACAATGTTTTAATTATATATATATATTTAATATAGTACTACAGATTTGCGTGAAACCCCAAATTCCTTAAACTCTATGGATATCAATGAAATAAAATCAGCAGGAGTGAATATAGCAGGAAATATTCCTGCATCAGAGGCTGACAAATTTCTTGCTTCTGTTCTCAATAACCCAAGCGGAAACCAAAGTGGAACTGTGGCAGCTGCTTTCCAGCATCATTTGCAAATGATAGGTGGGTATCCAGGCTCTAATCTATATACAATAAATAATACTAATACAAATGCTACAGCAACTACTACTAAAATTGCAATAAATTTAAAGATGTTTGCATCCAATTCTAATGCAATGAATACTATAAATACACAAACCGTCGATTCTAGTCGGAGTTCACTATGGAATCAAGATATTGGGACAAATAATGTGCCTGGAGGGGGAGGAGTTACTTACCCCTTTCCAGGAGTGGAGAGAAATGAAGCGCTTGCTGGTGGAATTAATGGTAAATTATTTATGCTTTTTTTAGGATTATGCTCTATTTTTTATATATCAAAGGTTAGTAATATAGGAGATTGATAAAAAAGGAATAATTATTCATACTGGGATATTTTTCTAATAGAAAAAATTTCATTTCATTTATGACTATAAATGTATGAATAGTATTAGAAAATATTGATTTTAGCCAAAAATTTATCAAGGGAGTTTCTTAAAATTATTAAACAAAACTAGGGTTGGCAAAAATTTAGACTATTACATAATCGAAAAAATCAATTTTTTACATTTAAATCATTATTGTCATGAGTGGGATTTTTTAAAAATCTTTATTATATTTTTGTTTAAGTGCAGTAATTTTATTTTGTAACAATGCACGAGAAATTTAATAACATCTCTACCCTTCCCAATTCCAGGTGGGGGAAGTGTCCCTATGCCTTATATAAGTTTTGTGGTAATTATTTATAGTATAAGAATTAAGAGATGCGGGAATACCTCCTCTTACAATTAGAAAAATGAGGGTAAATCAATTTTTATAACAAAAATTTAACAATTAAAATATGCAAGATATTAATTTAAAAAAATATTTTTATGGATATTGTTTTGATCAAATTAAAATAAAGATCTAAATTGTTTATTATTTGAATTTATAATTGTTTGTAACTTACTATTTTTAAATTAGATATTATTATAATATGTTCACCTTAACATTTCTTATTTATTTTAAGCCCTAATATGTTTTAAATTCAACAACCAGTGAGATCAAAATTGCAATAGAACATTACAAATTTTTATACCATTACCTCATATTATATTTGATATATTTTAAAAATGAATTCATAGATATTGCTAGTGATTTTTGATCTCTTAATTGATATTTTTTAATTTTTACAATCTGGATTAATTTTTTAAAAGAAACTCATTAGCATACAATAATATTGATAAAAAATTAAAAGAAAAATGTTTAGATTAATATTAATTTATGATTTATTTTATTTTAAAATCATGTTATTAAATAATTTTTCTCATTATGATTGAGAGTAGATTTAACAATTTATTTATAGCAGAGACCTGCAGAGGTGCCATTTGCATGGCCTCTGGATTTAAAAAAAATACAGCCCGGCCCTAAACCCAGGTGGGACTCAAGGCCCTGCAGGTCTCTGATTTATAGATTGTATCAAAAATAGAGAATGAGAATGATTTTATTTGGAAAAATTAAATATTAAACTTATCTAAGTCTTTATATTCAGTATTTTGGTGAAATTTGCCAAATAAAATTGTATTAAAAATATTTATTTAAATCAGTAGTTTTAGAAAAATAATTAAGGGGTTAGCAGCGATTTTTATTGCCTACTCTATCAAAATGGAGTATGTATATATCAAATTACAAATTTATGTTTGATTTTAAATATCACTTATTAGTAGGTCTGGATAAAAACACTGCCATCCTCAGAGATGCCTACGCCAAATTCATGGATGATGTAATCAATAACCAATCCCAAAACCCCTATAATTTCAATCAGCAAAATAGAAACGCTAATACAGATAACCAATCGACTCAAAATAACACTAATAATATTGGCAGCTTAAAACAGTCTGAGGAGAATGACGAATTAAGAACTTTGCAAGAAAAACGACAAAAACGGAAGAACAAGAAGCTTGGGGAGGTAGAAAATACTGAGGTTAATGGCATAAGCGATGATAACTTTGAAGGTTAGCATTTATTATACTTCTTTTATAATCAATTTTAAGAGACTATATAAAAATCTATTAGGATTAGCATGATTAAATCACTATCATTTTTTTTATCTTTTGTCTTTACTTTTAAAATAAAAACATTATAATTAATTATATCTCATTAAAAATAATTTTATTTATATTAATCTTAAAAAAATCTTTAACTTATGAAAAAATAATTGTAACGTTTTGTTTATATTTAAGGCTGCCCTTATTTAAAATAATATTGATTTTAATTTTGATACTAACAAGATGAATTCATGCAGTTTGTTACAAAATAATCAAAAATTATCTAATATTAAATTTTTTTTATTATAAATGAACATTATTGATAATTTAATTTTATAGGCTCAGGACCTATTAATGGGCATTATTGATAATTTTATATGCTCAGAATCTATTAAATTTGTTTAACAATAAAATATTATTTATTTATTATTCAATATTGTGTTAACAAACGTTTATTCATAAATTCTACACTGTGATTGCCATTTTTCAGGAGTTATTTTCCTCCAGGTAAAAATATTTTTATTATATTATTAAATTTGTTTCTATATAATATCATAAATTTTTGCCAACCTTTACGTCATATTTCCTATTCTATTATTTAACCTATTTCTTTATGTTATATTAACAATAGAAGATGATGATTGGAGGAACATGGCGGGAACTGAAACGGCCCTCCACAAATCTAAAAAAGGGGGGAGCAAGAAAAAGTCATATATTGACACTCAACGCACAACTGCTGACACTCAACACAAAAGTGCTGACAAGCTCAACGAAGAACTACGAGCTAGACTCCAGGAAGTTTATCATCACGAGAAAGAAACATCCACCAATAAGAGAAAACAAAGGATTTCTTATGATAAAGAAGGTGCCACTAACAATTACATATGTATGGAATGATCTATTTTATATTGTTAATGAACTTCACATGTTTTATTGCACAATATGTATATAATCAATTATCTGCTATGTTAATAATTAAAATTAAATACATTATATATATTTTTTTAAATATTAGCTGATGGAGAGGATCTAACAAGCGAGGAATCAATTCCAGAATACAAAAAATCAAAAAGACGACATATCAATCCTGAGGAGAAGGAAGAGAAGAGTAAAGCATCAAGTGGCTTTAAATTTAAAACTTTGGACATTTTGGAATCATTTAAAAACAAAATAGAAATCGTAAGTCATACATTGATGTTTAGTCAGAATTTTTTTCTGGGTTGATTTTATTACATTTTCAAAATTTTATTCATACTATTTATCTTATTTTTCTTTATTATATAAAACTAAAGGCATACAAGGAGGATTGTTCTGTTTTATATGGTGTGTCGAAACTGCTTGCTAAGTACATATTAATATATTTTAATGAAAAATCCATAAAATAATTAAAGATCTAAATGATTTTATACAATAAAATTTAAAATAATTTTATTAAAAAAAATTAGTTCTCCTGATGATGCTTTAAGAGTGTCAATTCGTAAAAGCGCTGATGAAAATGTTAAAAATTTGGCCAACTCTTGTCTCTCTCAAATGAAAGAAATTTTTCAACGTATTAAATCTTCCGCTTTAGATGCTTAAAAATTGCTTTAAGTTAAAATAATACGTTTTTTCATACTCCTTTTTCTAATATGATTTGATTAAAAAATGTACATATATTATAATAAGATAAATTATTTTGATTGTTATTATATATAAATATTAAAAAGTTGATAGTTATCATCTCATTTATTATCGTATTTTTAATTTTATGATAACATATTTTTCTCATTGTTGTAAAACATTCGTATTTTTCAACATTAATAAAATTTAAAAATTAATTATACATCCGGATTTTAGGATTATTAATAATTATGATCGAAAACTTAATTTATCTATGCTTTCGTGATTATAATTTTATTTTAACATTAAATTACACTCAAATTTTAATGTGGAAACAAAAACAAATCTTTTTTTAAAAACAGATAAAAGTAACATATCTATAATGGAATCTCATCTGGCCTAAAGTTTTAAAACTGCGGATATGATAATTGATGTTTTTTATATTCATTTTTAATTTTAGCCTTTTTCATTGGATTTGAATTTTCCAGGAAAAACGAGAAATATTTTTTAAAAAATAGTTTTACAGCATTATTGATTTATTTTCATGCTTTATTGAAAAATATAGACTATTAACATTATTTAAACAAGTATGATATCATTTCAATTATTTTGCTTGTTATCTTTTGAAGATGAAAACAATTCTAGTTCAGGAGCAATTTGTCAATTGAAGTCATAAATTGAAAATTTGCTCTTATAAAAACTATTCTTCTAACCTTATCGTTTTTTAAACCCCTATTTCGAGATTTGTGAATATTTCCAAAGCAGAACTAAGTTCTTTCTGAAGCTGCACTAGTTGGTGGCATTGATATAATTCTTATGGCAAGAGTAAAATACAAACAAAATTAAGTTGTTTTTTTCTTTAAGTGTGGTTAAAGGTATTTTGTGGGATTTTATAATACTTTTATTTTTGTTACTAAAATTTGAATTTCCTATATCCTTCAAAGCAAATTATGTCCATTGGCTGACCCAATATATTTGATAATATATTTTTTATGTGTTCTCATGCTTTCTTCATTTTACTTGCATTATCCATTATTATTGTGTTAATTTTCCTGTTTCCCATTTATTTAATAAATTCATTAGATGGATGTATCCATTATGCATTTTGGTCCCTGCTTCAATTGATTTTTAGGAAATGGGACTTAGGTTACCACAATAAAATTTATAATTCATTTCCTTTGTCTACCCATCTTTAATAAGGTTCAAATTTTTAGTTTTATATACTTTTAGTTATATTCACTGTTAAACAAATTTTTGAATAAATGTCTTGGGGGTATTTAAAATGTGGGTTTTAAATTATAATAATTTCTTCGAATACATATTAGATTGCTCTTCAGATGTAATGTTTTTGGGGATACCAGGCTGTCATAAATATACATCTCTTTAGATTTGTAAAAATAATCTTTTTAAATTTTTTATTAAAAAAGTATCAAATTAGACTAGTGAATTGTCCAAGACTTCAAAAATGTATGTACTTAACATTTCACTTAAATGCTGAAGGATAATATTGCGAAATAAAAATGCTAATTTAAAGCAAAATAAAAAAAATTGAATTAATAAGATAATACACTAATAATATATTTAGATAAATTGTTTTGTTTTGCAATTTATTGTTTTTATGGAAATAATATTATTAAATTATTAGTTGTATTAAAATTAAAAGAGGAAGTTGGCCTATCATTGACTTATTTGATAGGGTTACATGAACTTATACCATATTGTCAATTATATATATTACATTTAATATTGTCCTTTATTGAGTTGGGAATGCTATATTCTAAGTTGCACACTTAAAATAACTCCTTTTATTTTTTGATCTTTTTGTTTATAAAAACAATTATAATTTATGAGCAATGAGGAAAAAATATAGTTGCAAAATATGATAAAAATCCTGATATTTGATACAAAATAGTGAAATTTCCCTTGTGTTAATATTCCCATTACAAGTTTGTGATGCCTTTACTCGAGCAATTTTCTCTGTATTATATTTCTATTCTTAAACTCATTACAGGTATATTGTCTCTAGGTGACATTAAAACTTATTTTTAAGAAATTTATTTATATTTGTTAGTTTCTATTTTAAATTATAAAAAAATAATATAATTCAATTTTTTTCCCAAGTACTTAAAAAATATATTGAACTGGGAACCACAAAAAAATTTCATATACAAAATCAAATTTCAGGTTATTAAAAAATGTTACGAAAATTGCCATTATAAAATTGAACATAAGATCCATAGAAATTTCAGATAGTGATAATTTCTATTCTGCTAGATTTTTATTTTGGAAAAAAGGAAATTTCATATAAACTTAATCTAAATAATCCAATAAATATTATTTTGTAAAATGGCTTATTTTAAAAAGAATTACCAATACTATAATGTAGACGGCTGATAATATAATAATGTATACCAAAGTCCTCTTAAAAGTGTAGGATGCTGATAATTTTACAGTCACTCATCGAATATAGATGATGCCGATTTATTTTACAATTTAACTTTACCTTAATTTTTTATTCATCAACTATTATATTCTGCTTTTATTATTGCAACGAAATAATAATACAGTCTTCTACATTTTTGTATAATAAAGGATTTACTAAAACTTTTATTTAAAAATGAAGGATGCTATGTTTTATATTAGTTCCACTAGTCTTTCATTAGTAAACAATGATTGGGTATAAAGCCGAATCTTAATTTTCTGGAAAAGGAAAATATTTAAAAATTGAGAAAATAACTTTTAATATATATTTCCTTTTCTAAAAATAACAATTAACGTGTTTTTGCAAAAGGAATGAAGTTTAGTCTTGATATTTGAATATATTAAATCTTGAAACATAGAAAGTTTGATTCCAATAATTATTATGAGTTATGATATGACCCGAGTAATTTACAAAATTTAATTATAAAATATAAGAGCCTCACCTCTGACTCTGTTCTTATGATATGTAATTTACAATTTTGGTATGACCTTTTTATTACTTTTTTAATATAAAATAGTCGATAAAAAAAAGTTATTGTCAGTAAAAAAAATCTCTAAAGACTAAAACATTATACTTTTTTTGAACAAAGGGGCTACAGGTTCATGCTCTCATCCGTAAAATTATAATAAAATACATGAGTAACAAAAAAATATATAATTCTATATGTAATTTTAAATATCTGGAATAATAAAAAACAATGTAAATTTTTTTTTATCTAATTATACACGCCCAAGGGCAAGTTAGTACAAAATTCAAAATTTTTATTATGATAAATTTGAACCAGTTTCGTCAAGAATGCTGGGTATAATATACTATAGTCATGCATTAGCTTCCCAGTGGTCTCGATGAACATTATCCTTCAAGTGTAAGCAGTCATAATTCATTATGGTATCGGGGTATTAGCTTGCTTCCCTATTGTTTTGTTGAATCTAAGCTGCTGTTATTTATAGCCCAGCTTGGATGTTTCATGTTTTCGGATGGGAAATTCTCTTATCTATTACTTTATTATTTCCCTGGATACATTTTCCCTTAAAACTTAAGAATAACGGCTCTTTGTCCATAAAAGGTCACAGTTGGAAATGTCTTTGTTGCGAACTTCCCATAAAAAAAGCGAACTTTGTGTCCATAGAAGGATGACGTCGAATGTGTCTCATTCGAGTACTATTTTTCGAATAATATATAATAAAACAATCAACATATTTTGGAAAAACTGATATACTCAAATAATTTTATGTATATTAATAATATAATTGGCATTGTGTTGCAGCATCCTTTAGAAAAACATTTTAGTATAATTTCATGAATATATTTATTTTATTAACACCAGTGATAAATTAGTGGTTATGACATTGCGATATTTTCACATCATTTCAGACAATTCCATCTTTTGTTTGCGGTTCATTATTTGATCTTGAAACAATAAAAATATTGATTCCAAGAATTATTATAGTCCTTTTATATTTTTTCAAAAATTTTTGCTATGGGCTTGAGGAGGAACTCGCCTGCTCCATTTTATATAGGTCAGGTTGGTTGTATATGACATGAAATGACATAAAGTAATATGTCATTGATATGACCTGAACCTTGTACCTAAGTCTAGAAAATTTATATTTCTTGGAGGCCAGTTTTTTTAAATGTTCTATGGTCTCCATTTATCGCCCCTTGACTATGGCCTGCTTCTCGATTTAACAAATACCCTTTTCTTCCATATGATTTTACGTGATACGTCATATTAAGCTCCTATCCTAAGCGTCATATATATAAATATATCAACATAAGCATCGCTTTGTTCTCTCATGAAAGCCAATCAGACTAGGATAAAAAGATGGAAATAATTAAGAGGACAATCCATGTTTTTTGTGGCCGCAGTTATCTCTGCGCGCAAGAGGTAAAACCACTTACTTAAACGCCCATAGGAAATAAAAGGAAAGGTAAAAAGCTATGCCCTATTAAATAAAAATATGATTATGGAAGCTTTATGTTAGCCATGTTAATTTTTTTAAAATTTATATTTAGCATTTATGACCATGAGAACCTAGAAATAAACTTATGATTAAATAAATAAAAATTACCATTACAAATACAATCACTTATCAATACAACTAGTTCCTAATATTATCCAATTTTAAATTTTACGTTTCTACATTCATTTGTAAAATATGAAAAGATTGATAATGATAATATTCCATAATTTTAAGATCATATAAAATTAATTATTTTCGCTAAATCGCTTATATAAAATTTTAATCACATTTTTAAAATAATTCTGGGAAAATGAAAATTTTAAAAATTTATGGATATTATTTTAATATATGAAGGGTTCAGAAAATTCTATAGGTTTACTATTATAAACATTAATGTCAGAATTTCATGAAAGTATTCGACGTATTTTTGAAGGTATAAACATATTACTTTAATTTTAAATGAAAAATTTTTTCATTTTCATTAGCATCTTCTAACTTTTAATAGATATATATTTAAAGATATACTAATAATAAATTTTATTCTTATTATTACCACCTCCTACTTTGTTAATTTCTATATTTATAATTTAAAACTATTTGGTAAATGTAAAAAATCTATTATTAAAATTAAATTTATAAGCATAAGAACTATCATAAAAAAACTATATTATCTTTATGAGTCACATTTTTTTATTAATAAATATATGGCTTAAGTATAAGTACATAGAGATATCCCATATCTAGTATCTTCATCTTGATTGCTTTATAACTAGCTTTTTTGTAAAAGTTGGGACTTTTTAATTACATTTCTAAATAGTAGTTATCTTGTAATTTTAATGATAATGATTCACAAATTAATATATCAGGGACTTATATAAAGTTTTTTTAAATTTAATTAACTAGAAATTTAAATAAAAATACTTTATTTTTTTTGTTGACAATTGAAAAGAAAAAAAATTCAGCATTACTTTACTTAATTAAATAAATAGAATTATCAAAATTATATTAATATCTTTTTACCTATAAACAATCGTAATATAATTTTTTTTGTTACAAAATTTAGATTTCTTGCCTTATTGTAAGTTTCAATTTAACATATTTAGCTAAGAAAAACTCTTAAATACAGGACCAATTCTAACCCTCTATTTATCAATAGAGATTTAACCTTATTCATAAACACATAATTTATAAAACTAATCCTTTATAATAACAACATCACCAATGATATAAAGAGATCTGCAAGGCCTGGCCCAGTCCAGTTTGGAATTTCTGTACAAGTTACTCAGCCTGGCCTGACTTTTTAATATTTTTTCCCATTCAGCTTGCAATAGTTTTTAATTCATAAACTAATTTCAACAAATAGTATAAGGTTGGGATTGAGTTTATTAATAAAAATTTTAGATCACTTAATATACAAAATATTCTATTAAATTATAAATAATAATTGTTTGATTTTTATAATACATATATAAATATATAATTAAATGTTTATAAAATAATAATTGTTAGATTTTAGTAATAGAAATAATCCAAAATTTTTATCATTAAGAGCATCTCCTTTTATCTGTAAAGAGGTTTTTAGGCAATATACTAGGGCACTTAATTGCAGTATGGTGTTATAGTTTATGAATAACAATTTTATAATGAGGTGATCTTTAAATATATACTAGAATCTTGATACTCATTTTAAAAAAAAACATTTAATTTTATGAATGTAAATTTTTTTTCATTATTCCTTTCCTAATATCTTTTGAGGTGTGCTGAAAAAAAAATCTATTAAAATATTTGTTTTTTTTCAGAGGTTCTGTTTACAATCAGTTATAAATTTTAATAGCATTAACTAATCTTTATATTAACTCTTTTTTTTAATTTTAATGTTTAATGTAGTGTAGTTAAAAGTCCAATTTGAGTCAATTTTTAAAATAGCCTGAAGATTTTAGACAAGAATAATATTACATAAGACTAGAGATTTTGCTCTGGCAGAAAAATTTGGACCTAAACCTAGATTTAAAATCTCGAGTCATGCATAATATTATTTTGGCTGGCCGTTTTTAAAAAATCAAATTGGACTTTTCAGCAAAACTAGTTCAATGAATACCTAATATTTTATTAAAAGTTTGTAAAAAAAATTATTGACCAAAATTTTGATTTTGTACTATAAATTAAATGGTTACCCAACGGGAAAATTTGATAGGTATATTATATTTATAGGGGGCTTATAATGGGATCCTATCCAACACGATTTAACAGATGGTCATTTTTTTTAATGAGATCAATGGTTTTTAGATTATCAAAATAAAATTAACCATTAATAAAGAAAAATTGATCTCATAAACAAATTTTAAAAATTGATCAGCTGTTAAATCATGTCGGTCATATCTCAGTATGAATCCAGCCTTAAAATAAAAAACTTTTTAAAATATAGTGATAGGTCTGATATTGATGAAAAAGATTGTTTATATTATCATTAATTATTTATAATTATATCCATGTTTATAATTACATTGGCGTATATATTACTTACTGAAGCTGGTTCATTTGTTTATATGCAAACGGCGTTGAATACAAATCAGCTGATGAGACGCCTTTTTGGTTTTCCGAATAATATTTTTATAGATGAAGCTTTGATTTAAAAAATCATTAAATTTTTAATATATATTGTTTTTATGAGAAATTAAAATGGCGTTTGTATTGTCACAAAACGAATGAACGGCTGTAGAAAGCACGATTCGTTTAAGAGATATGGAATTTTTTATTATATAGTACATAATCAAGCCAATAGGTATAATTTATATATACTGAGCGAAATGATGAAATCACAACTGTTTGCGTACATTTAAAAGATGTTTCGCCCTGATAAATCAGCTGTGATTTAGCTAGCTATTAATTTCCCATCGCTTGAGCAAATCGTGCTTACTATATATGCGGCCTTAGTGCCGTTTTCAGGATTTTATTTCGGAACCCATCCAAAAAACTGCAAGGGGTTCCCAGTGCTGGCAGGCACATCATTTGGTCAATAATAGGGTTACGGGATCGATATCGCGCTCTGCACTTACACTAAATTGAGTCTTATTTTTTCCTAACTGACAAGACTTTAATAAAATATTGATATATACATTAGAGATCTGCAAAAGTAGGCCCGGACCGGCCTAATATTTTTAAATAAAATTCGGGCCGAGTCGGGTCGGGCCTTGGAAATTTTTTTAAATATATTTAAATTTATCAATTTTATATTGAAATTTTTATGTAAAATAAAAATATTTGATTTTATTTATAGAACTAGACGCCATATAATATGTCTTTTATTTTGAGTAATTATAAAAATTAATTACTATATTTAAATAAGTATGGGCTGGGCCGGTAAATTTTCTTAAAAAATTATTTCGGGTTCGGGCCGGTAAAACTTTTTTTTTAAAAAAAAATTCTAGCCTGGCCGGGCCTAGCATGAAAAATTAGGCCCGATGCAGATCACTAATATACATTGCATATCACTTACACTTGAGTTAGGAAAATGTTGGCCTTAGCTCAACTCCCATTCATCCAAATTATTCAAATCAACGAGACTATACATTTGATTTTCCTCGTATTTTTACCCCTAGAATTTTTGTAGTTATGGCTAATGGCTAGATCCTAAACCGATAAACCTAAATGAACGAGTGGTGGTTCTGGTTGAAAATGTAATATGAACTTAGTTTATTACCAGAGGAAATCACACGTTATATTTTAATGGCGAGAATAATTTATAAATAAAATGAATGGGAAAGTTTTGCTAATCATTAAAATTGAAAATCTCTACATTTATAGCAACTAATTAGAGGTCAAACATCTCATCTAAAGCGGTATTCATAAGGCACATCTTGTCTCAGCATTCTTAGATTTTACTTAAATAACAAAGATATAATTCTTTTGATTGCCTTTACATTTTACAGTGTGTTACCGAAGAATACATATTCATTCTATTGAAATGGGAATTGAATTTTCTTTAAGATTTTACATTTTTAAAAGGAAAATATCAAACTAGAAATTTATATTATTCATCAATTTTAGACTAATTGCGAATTTTATTGAAATTTTTTTATTATTGGAATTTCATTCGGTAATGGTTATAAAAAATAAGCATTTGATAATTAAAATTTAATATATTTTTTTTTGCCAGTGAACTATTCAAGGGACAATTTCAATTCATAAAAATTTATTGAGAAATCATTTGCATTTAAGATAATTATTATGTATTATAATTTCTTAATTATACCTTTATAAATAAATTATATTTCATTTTTATTTTTACTTAAAAATATTTATTTTATTACAATTACAACATATCACACTATAACCCCTTTAGGCCGAATCTGCCCATATTTTATAATCATATTTTTTTTAAAATAACTTTTATTTTTGGCTTATTACAAATTTATAGATGTTGAAAAAAAAAAAATGCAATTAAAGAAAACTATAAACGAAAAGTAATAATTATTAAAAAACATCCTATGTTCTAGTAATGGCATGGATTCGTGAGATAGTAAATTAATTGCATCAATCTTCAGCTTCTATATATTTTTTGGACTTATTGATCACGTGGTTGCATCCCTTTTTATTATATACTGATATCCTTTAAAAGGGAAAAAACGAAATTACCAAGTGTTGGGGGGGGGGTGATCTAATAATTGGAATGATAATTTTAAAGTATAGAAGTATATAGAGATATTTTGAATACTTGATCTAACTAAAAAAAGGGTTATCTTTTTATTTAAATCAATTTTAAGAATATTAAAAAATTTTTCCGCCAATTTATAATTTTTTAATTAATTTTTTTGAAATAAATAATAATATTTTTTTTTATCATGTTAAAATCTTTTCTTATTTTTAATTACAAAATAACCTAAATATTAGTGGGATGGGTGATGTAAAAAGGAATATTGTGTATTAAGTCGCGTGAGTGGAGTGTGACATTTCTTGTTTTATATTTCCTTCTTTTAAAAATTCAGTTTTTTTTTTTCATTTAAATTTGAAATTTAAATCGTTTAAATTAAATAGATTATCACAGATAAATATAAATTTCCATTTTAATTTTTTTTTAAGATTTTTTTTTTAAATATAAATTATATTATTTTTTTTTTAAATTAAAAAAAATATATTTTATATAATGAAATTTTGGTTGTTTGTGTTTTGTATACTTATAAAATCATCAGAAGAAGCAATGCAATTATATTTTTTTTCCCCCCATTATAATATTCTTATTTTTTATGGGACATAAAGTTATCTTATATAAAGTAATCTCTTTGTTTTTTCCAAAAACTTTTTAATTCGCTTTTTTTGTTGTAAAAAATATTATGTTTAAAAAGTTTTATAATAATATTTAAAATTAAATTAAAAAAATATATTTTTTTATATTATATTATAAAAATACAAATCTTAAATGGATGGTTTCTCTAC